ACTTATTTTTTCACATAAAATTATTGATAAATTTTTTTGATAAATCTTATATTAAAATAAAATTTCGAGTTTTAGGTCAACAGGTTCTAGATTTTTTAGTTAAAAAATAAATAAATACTAAAACAAATATTTTTTAAGTTTCTCTTTAGCATTTTTTGATGAGTTAAAGACAATATTTCAGGTAGTATTGTAATTTTTCTTGAAATCGCAACAAATTTGACTGATGACATATGAGTCCAGAAAAGTACTACTTTACTACCGATTTCCAAAATTGAATATTGTGTGCCCCTTTCAAGTTTCGGTAAAAAGTGTCTCACTTTCCCTTGAGCAAAATCGACAGTCTTTCATCAGCGGGACTAACATCCTCAACGGCGTAAATATCCCCGCATTCGAGAGTCATCACCGTGGCTTCCCTCACAAGTTCTTTAAAGTGTTTGCGACTGACTCGCAACGGCTTGAAGACTTTGAGGTACAAATCGGTTAATTCTAGTGTGAGAGTTGGTGGGAGAAACTTCCAGGCCAGTAGAACAGTATGTGTGAGATTGAGGATCACCAGAAGGGAGTTCCAGAGGAGGATATCGGGGGCGCAAACCTCCACACCGCCCCAAAGCGTCAGAAAAAAATAACCGATGGAGAGAAGCGCCCTGTAGGAGGAACTTCAGCGGGTTTCGAGGCGTTTTCCACTCACCTGACGATGAGGACACTCTGCTTGAAACTCCCAGGCACTAGAAACGCAGCGGCGAAGAAGAAGTTCGCCGTCTGGAAAAGCGGGTGTTGGGCTGGGGTCCACTCCTTGCAAAGGGCCCATGAAGTCGACTCCGGACCTGTACTGTTAAACGTCTGGAATTCGTAGTCGTAGTCGGAGGTGTTGGTCAGGTTGTAGAACTCGCCCCAGGTCGTGTTTTCCGGGAGATAAGTGAAATTTTTCATTGTTTTTTTCAGGTTTGTTTTGATGACTCGGTTGGACACGTGTGTCCTCGACTGGATCAAGGGAACTTCCATGCTTTCTGAAATTTTGTTTTTCAGCTGAAATCACGGCCAAGTTGACTCACCTTCATAGTATCAGGTGATTTTCCGTAGTGTTGTGGCACTCATGTTGTTTTCCGGGTGAAATTTTCACAGAATGCGATGTAACCTCATCGACACGCCCCATTGTACTGTCTCCCAGAAAAACACACGGGGATTTTCGTGAGATTAGAGGAAAAGCGCCCGAATTGGACGACTGGCTCATTGTAGTCGGCCAATCGATAGCAGACGCTTACGTCGACGGTAACACACAACAAATCCCCTTTTACTACACCTCCGGAATTCTCACCCGGAGTCTTCGAGACTAGACTCCGGTGCTTATGTGCTATATAAATTTTAATGTGGTACATAAAGCGTCCTGATTAGAAATAAAAAATAAACTCGATTCTGGCGTTGACCTAGATTTTTTGCACAAGGGGAAATTGCGTTTTAATCGTTACTGAGGCCCGGAAATGAAAAGATAGAAGTTTCACATGATTTACGACAATTTTGGTGGAAATTTTCATATTTTTGATAAGCTTGATACCAAGTGAACCTGAAAAAATTTGTGACGCAACCAACATTACATTTCAGAGATAACGTGGATTTTATATTTGGTTTTAATAAATTAAACATAGTGACCAAACAGCACTTCAACTTTAATTTATAAAAAGTCAAACCTTGGAAAATTTGGTAAGAATTACTAAAATGTTGAAGAAAAGACCAACAAGATTTTCATTTATGGAGAATATTTAAAAAACACTTCGCAGACTGCACGTTTTTATCCAGCACAATATCCATAAGTAGTCGGGCTTTCTGAAACTGGAGTAATCATTTTGACTCAGAAAAACTTGTCAAAAATAAAGATGCGAGTACTTTGTTTATTTTAATTTAATTTTATTTTAATAATTTAATATCTACGTTGTCTTTGAAATGTATTGTTGGTTTCTTCAAAAACATTAAGGGTGTCCGCGACCAACGATTCGAGACGTTAGTATATTGAAAACAAGATTACTCTCTTAATATGCAACAGAATTTCATGTATTATACATCAAAACAAAGGTTTTTTAAATCTACAGGCCGATACGTTGAGATTTAAAAAAAAAAATTTAATACTTTTAAAAAAGAACAAAAATGCATAAATGGTGAACTTGAAAACAACTTTACTCAGTCATTTTTCAAGTAATCAAGTTTGGTTTTTGTAAGATAATTTAAAAGAATATTCTATAGGCCGATACGTTGGCCTTTTTTTAAAAAAGTGTTTAGTTTTTGAGATATTGTGATTGATGTAAAAGTCACGATATTTAACGGTAGACCTAAAGATTCGTTTTAGGGTTTTGGTATTTATTACAAAATATTAATTCTTAACAAATTCAACAAACACCATGTAATAAAACACTGTTGTTTTTAAATTATTAATAAATATATTTTGCCCAAAAATGCCTCCTAGTTCATTGCTTTTACCACTAGAGGCGTTGCCAGCGCCGCTTCTGTGGAGGATCGAGGGTCTCTACCTGCCGTTGTACCAACCCAAGCAAAGGACGGAATATGGTCATCTTTATCATGTAATTAGCATAATAATTTTCAGTTATTATTATTATTAGAAAACTAGAAGCAGAAACATTTGACGTGAAATGAGAAAATAAGCTAATTTTGTTGGAATTGTACTTCTACCGAATCTGCCGTGTTTAGTAGACCTGACCATTTTTTTTCGATAAAATGTGTGCCTTGTTGGGATCTAAGATTATTTATTATCTCTGAGAGAGTTTTAATAAATAGCAACAATAATCAGACAAAATAATTTATCATACAACAAATTTACACCTATTATTAATTAAACAAATTTTAACCATTTTTCATACTATTTTATTCGGTCCAGCAAAGACTCAGCTTGTTTCGAGAGCGTATACAAAAAATTTATTACTTTCAAACAAATGCTCGCCAGAAGTCTAAAACAAATAGTTTTTTAGCGAGGCAAGTATGAAAAAAAATCATTGAAGAGATCGTTTTTGTTTTTTAATTTATCGTTGTTCTTCATAAAAAATGATTCGGCCTATCACAATCTTTTTTTTTTATAAGATATAACTATAAATGAAAACTTCGCATTTTCCTACGGTTAGTGGTAACCATAAATGGCAAAAAATTGTAATGGAAAACAAGAACACTTTTAAACCAAAAAAACCTAGTTAAAAAAAATCATAAATGCCTCTCCAAAGAATATGAATTTTATAATGCGCATTGTAAATTTGATATTTAGATGTACAGACACGGAATTTTAGACGATTTGTCATTCGGTTGACATAAAATGTAAAACTGACTTTATGTGCAATTTTTTTTTGATTTTTGTAGTTTTTATGCTGACAGTTAAATAAAAATGACAATAATTCAAAATAATAATAATAAAAATATAACTATGTAAAAAACGTACTGCAACTGCTGGCATTACTGTATGTATTGGGAAGTGACGCCAAAAATAAATTTCAACTAAAACTTTCAAGTCTTAGATCCAAACGTCAATGATAATGACACTAAAGCGCGGCTTACGTTGATATTTTTTGAACTTGATGTCCAAAATTTTCAGTCCACATTTGCATAAATTTGTAATTTTTTCGATTGTAAAAATTTTTATTTATGGAATTATATGTTTTGTTACCCCATACAAAAATTTAATTTCCATGGAAAATGGAACATGTGAGTTTTCTAATTTAATAAATATGTATAACCTATCAGGTAGATAGAATAATTATAATTAAATTTTTTTTTAAGATCCAAAAGTTAAAACAATTTCTAAGAAATTTCAGGAGCAACTTCCACAAATTCAAGGCATAAAAATATTAGTGAACTGATCTTTTACTTTTATTACAATTTATTACCCTTACTAACCCAACCCTTGAACGCAGGTAAAGTCTGAGTTTGGACCCTGTCTAGGGTGTATTGCTGGTTGCTTTTGAAAAAGAATAATAAGTGCTGAAAACCGATTCGCCCGTTCACTCCCGGACAGCCTTAATCATTGGCCTCCAGCAAATAATTAATATAAATTAAAGTAATATAAAAAATGTGATCGTATTTTCAGAACGAAATTGTTTTGTTTTTGAGTTATGCGATTTTTTTGTCAAAATTTGCAATTTATGTGTAAAAAAATTTTTGAAAAAATTAAATATAAACCGGATAGTTGTAATCCTGAGAGTATAACTTTTATGAGAAAAATGATTTTATAGTGGGTTGCCATTTAAAAAAATATTTTTTGTAAAACTCAAAAACAAAAAGAAATTTCGAAAAATTTTATTCTTGTTGAATTATCACATTTTTATGGTACTTTATCACTCATCAATTAGTTTTTTGTTTCCATACTTTTTATTCACCAATACAGGGTGATTCAGCTTAAATGACCCACCTGACCCCTCTTGGCAGACAACACATAAGACATTATGCACTTATTCCTTGATTCAAAATTAAATTTTCAAAATATCGAGAATCAAATAACGATATTTTTCGATTCATGAAACTTTCAAAATTCGAATATGAATCAAGGAATATCTGCTTTGTGTGTTATAGGTTGTGTGCCAAGAGGGGTCTAATGGGTCATTTAAGCTGAATCACCCTGTATAGGTAGCGATATAACGAACTAAAAAAAAATGACGACATTGTAGTGGAGTTGGCCGAATCGCGAAAAGAAAATAATAAATTGGTAGCGGAGCTACACACATTACGAAAAAAACTACCGTGCGATCAAAAAAATAATAAATTAGAGTAGGCGGTGATTAAAGTCTTTCAGATGGCAATCCTGATTTTTGACATCAAATGTCAGCGGAAACTTTGACTAGTTTGCGTTTTATTCCTTTTGAGTGAAATAATGTTCACTTTAGAGCAGACATTTTTTATTGCTGTACAAGAGGGAAACGGTGGATGGTCATTTGCACTTTGAGTTTGTGTGGAAAATTTCTAGCTCAGATTTCCAGCCAATGTGTTGCCAACTGTAGAATTCAATCGACGCCTACTCTAATTTATTTTTTATTTGATCGCACGGTACATAATACGATATTTAAGTCTTCAAGGGAATATAAAAGTGATGTGTGTAATAACATTTGACGACGAGAATATCCAACTAAAAAAACATAAGTTTGTGTTTTTTTAACAGTTTCTTATCTGATTTATTTTAAAACATTAAAACAAAGCCTAGTGGCCTTTTCAAAGGACGAAGCTTTTTTGTATTTTTTAAGAAAACTAATGTGCATTTTTTTAAACATTTTTTCTGTAATATAAAACTTCAAATAAAACATATAATTTAGTTTTTATTTTAATTTTCAAAGAAAAAAATAAATCAGACATATCTGGGTTAATAAAAGATCATCAGCAGCCAGATACTCAGGCGATACTCGTCAAGAAAAGATTAAAAGTACAAAGAATAAAAAGAAGATTTTTCTAGACCACTTGTAAATTTAATGAAAACAATACAAAAATATAGTCATTGCCTCAACCGATATAAAAATATAATAGAAATATAATAATAATATAATATATAACAATAATATAAAAAATGTATATAGAGAGATACCAAAATAACATACATGGGCAAGGGGCAGGACCTTTCCAATGTGATGTGTGCCTGAAGTGGTATAAAAATGAATATAAGAAACAACGCAGCGAAAATAAAGAGTTGAATTGTGGAGAATTTAAAAGTTTTTAATTTTTATATTCTGTGGGTTTTAAATGATCTACTCCCAGCTGACAGAGTGAAGAGATTTTTTCGAAAAAAAAAAGAAAAGACCACGGTCCATTTTAGAAGTATTAAAAGTTATGCGTTTTTTATTCAAAATTGATTACTCTATTGTTTTGACCAAAAAAAAAATGTTAAGAGGCCAAAAACACAGAAAATATGACCTGCAATTGCTGGAACCGGAAAATGAGTAGATGTATCCGGTTTTCGTAAAAACTAGTTTAAAATTGGAATATTATTTAAATTATAGGTCATTTTTGAGGTTCAAATATTGCTTTATATTTATGAATAACCCTATAAACAACAAATTTAAGTTCCAGCTTTTTTTGTTAGATTTATATAAAAGAAAGAAATCTAATTTATCGGCGTGAAGTTGGTTTTAAACTTCGTGGCTGTTTATTCAAAAAAAAATTAAAGTTGTGTTTTTTAGGGAACTTCGATTAATTTCACCCGCGGAGGACCTCTTCTCCAAGGGCTATGATTCACTAGGTCCAAGTTAGGATTTGCTTGTAAGATTACTTGTTTTACCTTGTTATGGTTATTGTTATTGAATAAATTTCTCTTTTCAATCGACACCTGTGTTTAATTAAAACGGACCTCCCCATTTTTTCCCACTGTATAAAAAGCTAGTCGGAAAGGCACTTTTATGTAGTATAGAGGGAGATAACATCTTCGATACGAATTTGAGCATTTTTTGCTAATATTTTTTTTAACACAGAATTACACAACTGTAATTTTAAATCTAATACGCCGTTAGAAGATGTAAATAAATAATCTTCAATTTTACGATATCAGATTTTGAATTTTATTACATACACCTATTAAAATGATTTTTGCGCACCAAAAACTTTTTTGAAGTATTATCTATCTTAATTGCACCTCGATTATGTAGGGGTCTATCTCGTAAAACAAAAAAAATTCTCTTATTTCTAAAATTTCACTACACAAATTTGATACGTTACAAGAAAATAGTAATTTTCTCTGTAATCTACATTAATTGAGAAATATTTTAATAAAAAATCAATTTTTTAGCTACATCTAAAGGGAAGATACAGGGGTTTGAATACAAAATTTGTGCAATTTTATATTTTCTAAATTTTTTACAAAAACGTTTTTTTCATAGTGAAGACAATTCCAAATGAAAAAACGACTTCCGGATTTGAATTCAGCAGAAAATTTTACATAATAATCAGTTTTCAAAAATCGTGTGACCTCGAATCCGGACGGTCATATTGGCCCCTCGACTACATTCAAAGAAATTATCTTTGGAATAAAGATAAGAACAGAAAAACAAATCAGAAAAATTAAGATTATTGATTATATAAAATTTATATATTTAATATAAAGATTTTGTTATTATAGACGGTGGAAATTTACTGTATCAGTATTTTTACTAGGCTTTCTCAAGAATAACACTAAATATTATTCCTTTTTTTTTGTTAATACCGTTCTAAAGTACTTAAACAAATAAAGCTTAAATAAAAATTAAAAGATCAAAAATCGTTTTTTTTTTCAAAATCTAATATTTCAATTTCTCTCAAAAAACCACAAGTTTTGAAAGTTTCAGTGATTGTTTTATTTGAAAATTCAGTCCATATCTACAATTTCACAGCTGTGGTACTTGGAGCTGGTTTCTAGCCAGCTTTCGACATCATTCGACGTAAGATCATCGTTTGAGGGAAGCTCAGTGAGTGGTTCCATTTCACTCAAAAAATTATGGTTCAAAGTACCATTTTCCTTAAATTTCTCGTACGACCGATACCTGCTATCATTCGAAAAAGTACCAGGAGACAAAGGAGACATCCCTGGAAAAACCACTCAAAAATCGTTTCAAAAACCGGATTTTTGCACCTTCGCTCTTCTTGGTCCGAATCGGCGATTTGTACTCTCCACTCGACGTCAACGACGACGTGATACTCGGCAATCTGATATCAAGATGTGACCCTTTTGCCGTGACAATTTTATTATTCATCGCGTAGAGTTTTGTGGCAATATCGCGAGCAATAAGAGTCGTCAAAACAGTGGCCACGTAGGTGTCCTTGACGAAAAGGTACTCAAGAGCGGACCTTTGCCAATACAAGTATCGACAAGTGCTCGCAGCGACGATCGACACCTGAAACAGGGGCGAATCCAGGAATTAATTTTGGGGGGGCTATCTAGAAATTTTTAGAATGATGAGGGTATACAGTGAGCGGCAAAATTATAGAATAATCTTATATACAGGGTTATTCATAAATATGAAGCAATATTTGAACCTCAAAAATGACCTATAAAATGATGTTAATTTAAATAATAAATAACTCGTGTCCTATCTCTACTGATAAGAATTTTACAGCCCTCGGAATATGGGTATGGAAATTTGATTTTTTTGTAATAACTTTGGAACTATTTGACCAAATATTATAAAATTTGGAACATTTCCATGTGACAACATACCCTTTAAACTGGTAATCACGAAAACTGGATACATACACTCAATTTCCGGTTCCAGCAGTTGCAGGTCACATTTTCTGTGTTTTTCCATTTTTTTGCTCTCTTAACAGCAATTTTTTATTGCCCAAATCGATAGAGTAATCAATTTCGATTAAAAAACGCATAACCTTTAATACCCCTAAAATGGACCATTTCAAAGATATTTTAATTTAAACTGTGGACTGCACAACGCTGAAACCAAAAAGTAGGGATTTTGAATAAGTGATATCCACGGCAACCAATGACCATGGTCACATAAATCCCTGCCAGGCATCTGTTAACTTTGACAATAAATTTTTGTGAATTTTTTATGAATTAAATGCTACGAGATCTATTTGGATTTATTCTAAGTTATGTTTGGAATCTGAGGTAAACTGTTTTATTAAATATTTTCGATTAATTGTCTAATAATCGTCCAATGTCAAAGTTGACAGATGCCTGACAGCGATTAGTGAGACCATGGTCATTTGTTACCGTGGATATCATCCATTCAAAATCCCTACTTTTTGGTTTCAGCGTTGTGCAGTCCTCAGTTTAAATTAAAATATCTTTGAAACGGTCCATTTTAGGGGTATTAAAAGTTATGCGTTTTTTAATGGAAATTGATTACTCTATCGATTTGGGCAATAAAAAATTGCTGTTAAGAGAGCAAAAAAATGGAAAAACACAGAAAATGTGACCTGCAACTGCTGGAACCGGAAATTCAGTGGATGTATCCGATTTTCGTGATTACCAGTTTAAAGGGTATGTTGTCACATGGAAATGTTCCAAATTTTATAATATTTGGTCAAATAGTTCCAAAGTTATTACAAAAAAATCAAATTTCCATACCCACATTCCGAGGGCTGTAAAATTCTTATCAGTAGAGATAGGACACGAGTTATTATTTAAATTAACATCATTTTATAGGTCATTTTTGAGGTTCAAATATTGCTTCACATTTATGAATAACCCTGTATTTATTAAAACTGAAAATATTTTGTTTTGGAAAAATGCTCGAACAGGTTAAATTTTTTTTTTTTAAATACAAATTTTTTATCCACAATCACTCTATAAAGAGACTTTATTCCACACTTTAGATGCGTATAAAGTACCACTTTATCGACTAGTGGAATAAAGTTACTTTATTCGACTGTTAGTAAACAGCGCACCGCGTAACAGCTTACTACGTTTAACCGAAAGCACACTTGGCGTGACGTTTAAATGTCAGTTTAATTTTTAATTAAGTTTGGAATAATTTGGGCCTATGATTGTGGATAAAACGTTATATTGCAGTCGTGTGTTAGCCGCGTTTTATCCACTTAAGAAAATTAACCGCTCGAACTGACGTTCTCACGGTTAAACATTCTTGCGTGGATAAAACGCTAGCTAACACACTCTTACAATAAATAACTATTAACTTGGTTTAAAATTCTACCGTTGTTTTTTATTGATATAATTTCACTTTTTGGAAAACTTTATGTAATACATAATATTTTGGTGTTGCCATTTCGACAATTAAAAAAATCTATCGAATTCGCTAAAAAAATTAGGGGTTTCCATTAAACAAAAAATGTCGCTGCCGTCATTACCCAAAAACCAAAGAGTGTAGAATAATTAAAACAAGGTGAAAATTGTGTATAAGGTGTTCGAGCGAGTTGGTAAAGTTCATTATTCAAACAGATATAAATTAGATACCTAAGATGTGGCCCAAACAAAAATTACAATTGATGATTTCTTTTTAAATTAGTAAAAACTAAGTAAGTATCGAGAGATCAAGATAATTTGTCCTTGTATCCGAAAACGTATGTCCTGTGCGTATGTCTGTGAAACGTCATTTAAAATAACAAGTGGAAGGTAAAATCCCATGATCAAAAAGATAACCAAATTTATGATTTACCTTCAAAAAAGAACGGTCTTATTATTATACATCGGCGACTAATTCTAGCGCATTTTGCCGTTTTCGACTTGTCATTTTATTTGACCTGTAGTTAGTTCTAAAACAGACATACGTACAGTTGCGGAATTAAAAATTCGGGCAGTACCTATTTTTTGTCACTTTAAAAAGTTCACTGTAAACTACCTTTTACTGTAATCATGACAAGAGTAAAAAATGAGTTATTAATATAAAGGTTGTTTTAGAGTTTACATTATGAAAATGACAGTACTGCCCGAAATTTTAAATCCGCAACTGTACGTTTTCGGATCCAAAAATGACTCGATTACAAATTATTTTGATCTCTCGGTACATGTATGATTTGTAGTGTTTGATAAGTGTGATTTAAAAAGAATTCTAATGTTTTTATTTAAAAAACTTTAGGTCATAAAGTTTTTATATTAAAATTTAAATATAAAAAATTGAAGCTTTTGGTGGCAGGTTTGGGGGGGGGCCTCCCCTGGATCCACCCTTGACCTGAAACTCGTTTCAGTTCCGTTTCAGGAAACCACAGAAACATACTTTGAATTTATCATCGACGGTGTTTCTGCTCGATTCGAATTCGGGCGAATCGAGAAACTCGCATGGGAGAATCGGGTGCAAAAACTGGTTGTCGGACAAGACGTTCACCTGAAACGGTTTATTGTGAAAAAACTGAAACTTTTGACCAATCACGGACTTTCCCTGAAAGCAGTAAGCCCAACCGATCGGTTCGGGTCAAATTTTGGACTGCGTAAGCCTCACCGGCGTGCAGCGACATGATTTGGGCGAATTCCGCACTCACCATTCGCTTGTATTGAAGTCTAGAAAGCTGAATTTAGTGTAAAAACACTGAAACGCTGAAAATCTACTTTGAAGGGTTCAAAGAGCGCGTGGTAGGCCTCTTCCAGTTCTGGGTCAAACTTCACGGGTCTCAATTGGTACAAAATATGGAAAACTTGGGCCATATTCATCAACATGAAGGCGAAATTCCAGGTGAACACATCAGGGGCGCAAATAATGTTCCAAGCCCAGGCCGAAAACAGCATCAAACCTTGGGTTTGTTAGAAATTAGAAATTTTCAGGGTTTACCTAAAATCAGCCAACAGTGCATGAAAAGCACCCCTTTTTTCGAGCACGTGGAGGAGTAAGCCAATACGAAGCACATGTTGGCGAGTTGGAAAAGGATGTTTTGGGGGTCTTTCCAGTAGTCGCACCATGGCCACCAAGTGTCTGGAAGAAGCTCAAAGTTGGGGGATTTTTCTCAAGTGACTTACTTGAAGGGATGTTATAAGTGAAATTTTTGTTGTTGAGGGGTGAAGAACTGTTAGAATCGGTTGTTCCGACTATTAGGATATGGGGGCGTTCTTCGTTATGTTGGAGACCGGTGAATTCGGGCATTGTTGCTTTCGATTTGGATCGATAAAAGCGCGCAATAGCTTTGAGCTGCGACAGGGAACTGGGGGAGATTCGGTGGTTGGCAAATAGAGGGCGCAAGGTGCCCCAAAGTAGACCCTTTTTTTATATAAACATTTTTTCAAAGAAGTAAAATGGCAATTGTCGAAAAACCCCAAAATTAGTTAATTATAATTATTGGTAATTTTTCTAGTAACTCCGTTACGGACACCGAAAATCGCTTAAAATTTTGATAAAAATCGAAAAAATAACCTTTATAAAAATGAACTTAATAGTAAAATTTGATTTTTCAATTTTTTGTGTTTAAATGAAAACATTGGATTAGAGCAGAGACAATGGCCGGGGGTGTGATGGCGCAATGACATAACATCTTGCTTAAATAAACACATAAGAGTTTTAAAACATGTACAAAAGTTTAGGTAAAAAAAATGTAAGTACTGTGAATTATAAACAAAAGGACCAAAATAAAAAAATGCTGAATCGGTTATGAAGCTCTCAAAATCATATTTTTTTTTCAAATCTAATATTTCAGTTTCTCTAAAAAAATTAAAAGTTTTAAAAAAAAAAGCTTTGAGGTTCGGCAGGGAACTGTGGGCTTTGTGGGCGGCTGGCAAATAGGGGGCGCAAGGTGCCCCAAAGTAGCAAAATATCAGACCCTTTTTTATAACCATTTTTCCAAAGAAGTAAAATAGCAAAATTAACTAATTATAATTATCGGTAATTTTTCTATTTACTACGTTACGGATAGCGAAAATCGCTTAAAATTTTGATAAAAATCGAAAAAATAACTTTTATAAAAATGAACTTAATAGTAAAATTTTATTTTTCAATTTTTTGTGTTTAAATGATTACATTGGATTAGAGCAGAGACAATGGCCGGGGGTGTGAAGGTGCAATGAAATAAGATCCTGATTAAATAAACATTAAAAGATGTGACATAAGAGTTTTAAAACACGTACAAAAGTGTTTAGGTAAAAAAAGGTAAGTACTGTGAATTATAAAGAAAAAGACCAAAATAAAAAAATGCTAAATCAGTTATGAAGCTCTCAAAATCGTATATATTTTTTTCAAATCTAATACTTCAGTTTCTTTAAAAAAATCACAAGTTTTAAAATGAAAAAGCTTTGATGTTTCGCAGGGAACTGGGGGAGATGCGGCGGCTGGCAAATAGAGGGCGCAAGGTGCCCCAAAGTAGCAAAATATCAGATCCTTTTTTTATAACCATTTTTCCAAAGAAGTAAAATATAGCATAATTAACTAATTATAATTATCGGTAATTTTCTATTTACTACGTTACGGACACCGAAAATCGCTTAAAATTTTGATAAAAATCGAAAAAATTACTTTTATAAAAATGAACTTAATAGTAAAATTTGATTTTTCAATTTTTTGTGTTTAAATGATTACATTGGATTAGAGCAGAGACAATGGCCGGGGGTGTGATGGCGCAATGACATAAGATCCTGCTTAATAAACATTAAAAGATGTCACATAAGAATTTTATAACATGTACAAAAGTGTTTAAGTAAAGAAAAGGCAAGTACAGTGAATTATAAAGAAAAGGACCAAAACAAAAAAAATGCTAAATCAGTTATGAAGCTCTCAAAATAGTATATATTTTTTTCAAATCTAATACTACAGTTTCTTTAAAAAAATCACAAGTTTTAAAATGAAAAAGCTTTGAGGTTTCGCAGGGAACTGGGGGAGATGCGGCGGCTGGCAAATAGAGGGCGCAAGGTGCCCCAAAGTAGGAAAATATCAGAGTGTTTTTATAACCATTTTTTTGAAGAAGTATAATGGCAATTGTCGAAAAACCCCAAAATTATTTAATTATAAGTATTGATAATTTTTCTATTTACTCCGTTACGGATACTGAAAATCGCTTAAAATTTTGATAAAAATTGAAACAATAAACTATAAAAATTTGATTTTCCAATTTTTTGTGTTTAAATGATTACATTGGATTAGAGCAGGATCTTATACAATTAGATCCTGCTTAAATAAACATTAAAAGATGTCACATAAGAGTTTTAAAACATGTACAAAAGTGAAGAAAGTGAAAAAAAAAAAGAAAAGGTAAGTACAGTGAATTAATTATAAAGAAAAGGACCATAATAAAAAAATGCTGAATTGGTTATGAAACTCTCAAAATCATATTTTTTTTCTAATCTTATATTTCAGTTTCTCTAAAAAGCAGCTTTGAATTGCGACAGGGAACTGGGGGAGATGCGACGGCTGGCAAATAGGGGGCGCAAGGTGCCCCAAAGTAGTATATCAGACTCTTTTTTTATAACCATTTTTCCAAAGAAGTAAAGATTTTACCCAAAATTACCCCAAAATTAATTAATTATAATTATCGGTAATTTTTCTATTTAGGTACTACGTTACGGATACCAAAAATGGCTTAAAATTTTGATAAAAATAAAAAATAACCTTTATAAAAATGAACTTAATAGTAAAATTTGATTTTTCAACATTGGATTAGAGCAGAGACAATAGCCCGTGGTGTGGTGGCGCAATGACATAAGATCCTGCTTAAATAAACATTAATAGATGTCACATAAGTGTTTTAAAATACATACAAAAGTGTTTAGGTAAAGAAAAGGTAAGTACAGTGAGTTATAAGAAAAAGGACCAAAATAAAAAAATGCTGAATCGGTTATGAAGCTCTCAAAATCTTTTTTTTTCAAATCTAATATTTCAGTTTCTCTAAAAATATCACAAGTTTAAAAAGAAAAAGCTTTGAGCTTTGGCAGGGAACTGGCGGCTGGCAAATAGGGGGAGCAAGGTGCCCCAAAATGTCAGACTCTTTTAGATTACGAAATTTTTTATATCCATTGTTTCAAAGAAGTAATAATTGACTTTATTTTTTGTTTAGGTTTTTAATCTTTCGTTTTAACTAAATATTTCTTACAAATAGTTTTAAGGGGCAGTGTCATAATAGAATTAAGGGACTTTAAAATTAATGTTGGTCTAAAATTATTGTCAACAAGTTCGTCGAATTAGCGCATTTTAAACCAACATTAACTTTAAAGTGTTTTTAATTCGATTATGAAAGTACTGGTAAAGCCTACATTCGGTGAATATTTCTAATACATAACACTGATTTAAATAATAAATAAAAAAATAGGTTTTTTGTTTGGTCTTCCTTATCAAAGAAWCATTTACTTTTAGTTTGGAATTTTTTTTTCTCTGTAGCTAATTTTTAATTTTTTTGTCTTAAAACAGTTTTAAATCTTGCATTCAAGGAATGTGATCAAGAAATATTTTTTTTATTTCTTTAGCCTTTTTCCCTATTTTTTCTTTTAAAATAGTTTCGAATCCTACATTCAAAGAATATTTCTGATGGCTCTGATTGACATATTTAAACATTTTTTGTTTGGCCTTCATGATCATAGTTAAAGAATTATATATTTTAGTTTACATTTTTAATCATTTCTTTATATAATTTTTTTTATTTCTTTAAAATAGTGTCAAATCCTGCATTCGAGGATCGAGGAATAGTTGTAACTTTGATTAAATATTTGATTGGTCTTTGTAGTCG